GGTTGGGGGGGCGGGGGCGGGGAAGGAGTGATGACCAACCCTGCAGAGTCTTGCTTCTGTAATCCTGGACTGAAAATCCCAGAGACCTCAGTGACAGCAGGAAGAAATAGTGAACACACAGCATATGCTGGCTGCATGCCAGAGAGCTGTGCTCTAGCACCCCCCAGCTTCTGGCCTGAGCAACTGCAGATATGTAGCTGCATTTCCTGAATCAAAAAGTGAATGTGTGTCCAGTTGTTTTTCAGTTTAATCTCTACAGTTTAGACTAACCTGCAAAGACTGAATCAATTCAGCCTTGGACTTTTTGACTGTCTGTTCTTAGCCTAAATGACAAGGGAAAATGGTAGAAATGAACAAGGTATATTCCAAACTAATTGTAAATTGATTTATAGTTTGAAGCAACACTTTGAAATTGATGAAGAAAGCCCAAAGAAGGAACTAAGCTCTGCAAGCTGATCCTGGATATGGCAGATCACATAGAGGAGGAGGATGTTGCAGAAGCACTTGGAGGAAAAAATAAGTGAAAAAGGGAAGACATCTTGGTTAGAGAAAGTGCAGGTAGATGCCGTACATTGTTGGGACAAGGACACATCAAGCGTCTTAAGAAAGAAAAAAAAAAATCACCAAATGAACAGCGTAATATCTTTACATTGCCTATTTAAAAAAAAAAATACAAAGGAAAACACTACAGTTGTGCTGACTTGATAATTTTAATGAAGTAGATGTGGCAGTTGGTGAAACTTTTCAATAATCTCCTTCCCAAAGGCTATAATCATATGATAGGTGAGCTTGTGTTGTAGTTTGCGCTAGAGCAAGGGATAAGACTGTTTTATCTCAGCCACGCATGATAAAGTGACCTCTACAATCAAAACTAAATAGGGCTACTATAGAGATTTTTTTTCAGTAAGCTTTGGATTACATCAGAATCTGTGTTGAATCCATTTCTATTTGTGGTCATCATGGGCACAGTATGTAAGACTATGCAAAAGGGAGACACTGTTCATTAATGACTTACTGATACATGTAAAAAATCATAATATCCAGTTTGTCAACTCTGAACATTCTTTGCACAGGCTAAACTGAGTGAGTCAAGGTAAAGTCTATGCTATGTAAGCAAAGAAACAGTCCCAAAAGAAAGAATATCACAGGAAATAAACTTAAAAGAAAGAAGGATTTCAAAATGATTGAACAATGGTTGATGTCTATGGCATCCTTCCCAGTGGATGCCCGGCATCAAACCAAAGACATCTGGTGCAAAAGGAGGGACATATCACAAAGCAGCCTTGCTTCTCTCCGTTGCTGGACCACAACTATACCACCACCAAACGCAACCAAAACAGGGCGAAAAGGCTTTCTAGATCTAGATTACTTCCAGTATAGTTCTATAAAAGTCACTCTCAATCCCCGCTATCAGAACTGTATGGCATTAATGTTCAACCCTAGTGCCACCATCATTCTCCTTATTGCTCCCAGTTGATAGATATCATCAGTGAGACGCATGAGACTGTCAGCCAAATCTGGAAGTTATATCAGGTTATACTCTTTCACTGTCAGTATAGATGCAGCAACAGTCCCTTTAGTTTTCCGACTTCCTGGTAAATTGCCTTACCAATTCCAGATGCTGATATCCACCCCACCCCTTACAGGATTCAAAATGTGTATTCACCCATCCATTATGGCAACATTATAGGATTGTGGCAGAAATGTGGCACAGATCCAGCCTTTATAATCAAAACATGTGCACCCTGAAGTAAGTATTGGACTCTTCAGACTCCCCCTGACCCTCCAAAAGGGAGGGAGGGGGAAGGGAAGACAAGTTTGTGACCTTTTCACTTTGAAAAAGGGAAGAACCATTTCCACCACCATTGAAGTGAGGGGTCACGGTATAGAGCAGGGGTGGACAAAATTCTATCTGGCCTGCGGGGTCCCTCCAAAAAATATTTATTGGCCCGTGGCTGCCCCTCTGAAAGCCGGTGGGAAGTGGGCTTCCAAAGGTTGCAAGCCATCGGACTGGGTGGAGCTCTGTGGGAGTACAGCT